TGGCATTTCATGGAAATCTCATGACGTTAATGGGTCTCAAACTATGAAGGGGACAATTCCACCTCTGAATTCACCATGCCTCTTGTAAAACAAGCCTTACTATGACAAGCTTCACTCCCTGACTTCTAATAAAATGAATCACTGACATCATTTTCGTTATTCATGAAATACAAAACATTTGTTTTTTTTTTTTTTTTAATCTTTCTAAAAAGAATACTTAACACTGAATAAATTCACAGTGCTATGTTGAAATTAGGTGCTAAAACTCTTGGTCAAAACCTAATTTGAATCTATTCTTCTATAAGTAATTTCTTAACCCTGCTTTACAGTGGCCTTCTCCTTTTTAATTTACACATTTTTTTCATAGTCAGCGGAATCCAAATAACTTGTAATAGCCATCACTTTAATCTGAATATATTTTATCTCAAAATTTAGACACTGTTATTTCTCTCCCTCTTTTAAAAACTTCACAATAGTAATAAAATAGATGTAATCACTCATATACTTACTATCATAAAAAGAAAAAAAATAGATTTTATTTTGAATGAACCCCAAAGATTGTTTATCTGGAAAAAAAGAGAGACAGAAAGACTTAGGCATTCTCTAGCTCTGAATTATTTTCTAAACGACTTTCTGTGTTGCCTACATCCGTCTGACACAATAAACCCAATTCTGTTCTGGAAAAAGAAGAGATGGATTAAAATAAGAGTTGAGAAATGGGATGATCCAGTCTGACCTGAAGGCCCCTGAGTGCAATGTGGGGAAGAAGGGACCGGGAAGGGAGGGGAAAGAGGGCAGCAGCTTTGTACCTGGAGATCTCGGAGCTTTGCCTCTAGAACTTTGCTGTCTCCAGTTCGATGGGATGATTCTTTGGCTGCTGCTTTTGCTCCCAAAAACCATTCTTGGAATTCCTGCATCGAATCTTTTGAAAGGTAATCAAAACCAGGAGTAAGTACAAAATACTGAATACATTCCCAGGATTGCCACAGTGAATTACTTCTGGGCTTCAGTCTACCTCATTCTGCCTCACAAAATACTCTAGAAAGAAAATGATAATGTAGAAAATATACAGCCTGAACTACAGCCATTACTGTCTATTGCAAAATTGGGAATTTACAGACGAGACTACAAAGCAACTGATGATCTTGGAAGGCCTGGTTTCCAATTATGCTTCCTTCTGTGGCGAAAGACTACGTAAAAAGTCAAGACTAGGGATGCTCTGGAGGCCTGAAGTTGCTTTTTTTTTTTTTTTTTTTCTCGTACTGGAGAATGACCCCAAGGCCTTTGTGCTGAGCCATACTCCAAACTGTTTTTATCTTTTATTTTGAGATAAGGTTTTTTAATTCACTAAGTTGCCCACCTTGGACCTGAACTTGCAATCTTCCTGTCTCTGGCAGCCTCCCACAATGCTGGGATTGCAGGCATGGACCACTGTTCCTGGCTACAGACAGGATTGTGGCAATGGAGGGTCCATTTCCTCTCTCTACCACATCACCCAAGAGAACTGCTGGGCATCACATCGGCTCCTTGGCACTGCTGCAGGGAAGCGGCAGCCCGGGCGTGCACTTGCCTCACTCATTGCGAGCAGCTTGTGCTCTCTCCTAACTCCCAATTTCCTGGTCACTTTGCCCTGGTGCTGAAAACGTCCCTATTTTTTTCCTCAGTGGCTGTGGGCCACTGGAAAAGCAGAATTAATTCTTTATATTTAGAATTTAATATAAAGAAAATCCAGGTAAAATTCAGAATCATCAATAGATGTACACCACTTTCTCAGGGAGAAAGGGGAAGAATTCTATGGAAGGCAAAAGCCCCAAGCACAGTCCTTCTACTGCTCAAATCTTAATGCAGAAATGAATTTCAAATGACATTCTTCTGAAAAATTTCCTCCAACTTTTCCTGGCCGTGTCTAGGCAGCATTCAGTTTGGACTTGTTCTCATAAACAATTACCCATGCTAAGACCCGTCAGGCCTCACCATTGAAATGTTGTTCCAGAGAATCCTGCAGGCTGGCCTGGGTTTTAGAGCATAGCTGGCCAACAGCTTCATGCTTCTTTATCAGGCCTGTCATTGCCCGGCCCAGGCTCTCCAGCTCTGCCGAGTGGTACTTGCGGCACAAACTGTTGAGATTCTCTTGGGTAGAGCTGATGCTGCTTTGTTGACTTTGAAGTTCTTTTTCAGTATCCTATAAAATAAAAGCATACCATGAAGGATATTCATTAGAAAGAGACAGGGCGATAATTGCACCACAGCAATCTTTTCAATGCATGCAACTGATGCTAGTGACATGCTCTCTCGGGAGTATGCATGTAGGTGGTGTTTTGGGACATTTCTGACAGGTCTGTACCGATTCCTTTGCACATCTTCCCAGTTCTGTTTGGCAGCAGCAGCTGTTGGAAGTGGCTAGCATTTGGGTTTAGCCTAAGATTTCAAGTAAATTGGGCAGTTCTGTATGTATTCCAGTCCAAGTCTGTGATCTCAGTGCTGGTCACCTCAGGAGAAGTATTTGTTCTTCAATGTGTCAATGGGCTTTGATTAAGGTCACAGACCACACCAACACCACCAGTAGTTAATTTTTTTTAAAAAAATATGTCCTTAAGTATAGTAAGAAAATATGCTAAAAGACAAATAAACTACATACGTATATTAAAAAGTTAACTTTTACATATTTTATATGCAGTGGCCCAGGGGGTGTCATCAATAAATATTTCCAAATGACATGAAAGTGAGAAGCTATTACACTTCTTTTTAAAAAAAAATTATCGCATTTTCTAAATGACAGCAATCAGATTGACTATAAAAATCATAAATATAAAACATCTATCTGTCATTCAAGTTTCGATACTGATAGAAAGCAAACTAATTTTTCTGTAGGTTCACCTAACTAATTTTTATAGGTTCACCTTCTTACAAATATACATACATATCTATGTATATGTGTGCAAATATAAACAAGCACAAACTTTGAGAAAGCATCAGGGCACGCACACTCTCACACACTTTCTGTTGTTAGGTTATGCATTTTCCATCCCTTCACATCTGTGCCTAGCTCTTACTTTGCTCTGTCCAGTATGGTACATTAGTTGGTCTGGTTGCCAATGTGGGTAACTGAAAACAGAGACTGTGCCTCTCACAATGGCTGTGACAGACAGGAGGGCCACTAGCCCTGTTCAAGCAGAAGTGCTCACCGACCGTCTGGCCCCTACCTTCACTTTCTTGAGTCCATTACACGTCTTGGCTTGGGCACAGCTCACCAAGGACTCTTCCACCTTCATCAGCCATTCGGTCCTGTCATAGATGAACTTCTCTATGTTTGTACTTTGAGCGGTAAAATCCTTCAAGGTACCTTTCGCTTCTTCAGTTATTTCTTTGGCGTGCTCCAGTTTCTGCTGTAAGTCTGCTTCTATAAACTAAATATAGGGCAAGATTTTATTAAAGTCTGTGCAGACCAAGAGAACACTCACCCAGTAAGAATTCTGTTCATGTGCAACTTTGTTGAGAAAACATAGGCTTCACCATGGAAGCCACCCCAGTGCTAATGTGCCTTTTCCTGGAAGAGAAACCAATGGGCACAAATTGCCAAGTGTATCAAGTGACAGGAAAGTGGAGAGTAGGGCTTGATGCTAGCACTGCATGTGAGGGCAGCGGTTTGGACTGAGGCTCTCGGAAATACATGAGATCACATCTGAAATCATAACTAGATCTACACGGAGCCACTGAGGATGGGAGGTGACCGAAACTCTGTTCCTCAAGCTCTGAGCAACACCCACACATCCCCTATGCAGAAGTAGCCTCTTCTTAGATAAACACCACTGAGTCTTTATGATGAAGCAATTTTAATTTTGTATGAACTATTCAGTGGGCTACATGCTTTTCCTTCTTAGGTTGACATTTCTGAAGAGGTGACTTCTCCAGCCCATAGTTAAGAAAAGGATTAGGCACTGCATATTGCAAAACGTTTTCAATGACACAATTCCAAGATGAGGTGTATTTGGTAATCAAAGAGCTGAACTTAAAGTGAAGGGTTTTTCTTAGTCCTGGCTCAAACCTGCTGCAAGTTGGAAACCTAGGGTGGAGTCTCCACTTCTCTTTCATTTTACTCGTTTCTCCACCTTGTGCAGATTTTTGTCCCAAATGTTTGCACTGGCAGCAGGTGGCTAAGAGGCGGTGAGCCATGTGCCAAATGCTATGTGGTGACACCTGAGTTTCATGTCTACTACTCTGAGGGCCGAGGTCTGTGGGATTTTCTGAGACCCTTCACCTAGGACCTCCCACTGACTTCCCTACACGAGCTACTACACTCTTTTGCTCCTGTGCCACACGCCTCCTCAGCCGTGGCATCTCTTCTCGGCCTCACAGCTGAGGTCTGCCCACCCAGACGGCCTTCCTCGTGGGCTAGCTGTCCTATGGTGGTCTCTTTTGCCTTTCCTTGTGCAGCACACTTCGGGGCTGGCAGCCATGCTCTGGCACTCACCCCACTACTGACTCTGAGAGGCAGCTCACACCAAATTACCATTTCTCCTTTGGCAAACCCATGAGTAGTTGGCCGCCCAGCCTGGGAGGGGTAAGAAACTAGACTCTGGCATCTGCCAACTGCAGGAGACACAGGCCATGTTTGCCAGGGGGCACCACTAAACCCAGCTTCCTAGACTTGAAGTAAGTTGAATCACTCATAATTCTTCCTTGACATGTACAGGTATGTGTGTGTGTGTGTGTGTGTGTGTGTGTGTGCATATGTGTGTGTGTGTGTGTGTGTAGGAGAGAGACAGACAGAGACAGAGACACAGACATAGACATATCAAGGCATGGGGAGAGACCAGAGCATAGCAAACAGTAGCTTGCTCCCCACATCCTGGCTTTATCTTCACTCTGCAATAGTCCACTCTCCCTTTTTAATTCTGCATATGAGTAGCACCCGCTTTGCTTTTTGCTGCAGGTGAACGTCTACCATTCCAGTACATGTCATCCACTAATGGTATGCAGTGATGGGTACACACACAGGTCAGAGCAGAAGCATGGCTGCAAGCCGGTCTGGTTGGCTAACAGGAAACAGCAAATGGAAAATCAAGGCACAACAGGAAGAAAGACAATGTGGAGAAAATCCACAAGAGGAGTAGCAAATGGTCAAGTGGTGCATCAGAACCCTGAGCCAGGAGCCAAGGATCTGGCAGGCAAAGGAGGCCCACCACACTACACAGGGGTCTTTGAGGACTCAGGTGCTGAAGCAGCCCAGGTCTCTGGGTCAGCCCTGCTCCTGTGTCCTACCTCAATGGTCCTGGGAATTTGTGCCATCACAAGGGCTGTGAAGGGAATATTTTTCAATGATGATGCCTCCCAACTCATACTGAGTCAATGAATTGGGAAAACATCAATAATAACATCATCGAAATGAGATTTCTGTTCTTGACTTAACATAAAATGGTCCATGAGACAAGCCGAAAATGCTCCCAAAATTTAGCAGGAAAAAAGTAACTACTCATATTTGGATTAGAAATCTGCTATTAGTACTGGCACAAGAAATTGCAGAGATGTCAATATTTAGCTCCAGTGTATGATATGTTTTGTTGGGGCTATAGTGATGATAACAAAGAAAGGCATCACTGGTTAGAGAACTGCGGGGGGAGGGGGGGGAGAGAGAGAGAGAGAGAGAGAGAGAGAGAGAGAGAGAGAGAGACAGAGACAGAGACAGAGACAGAGACAGAGACAGACAGAGAGAGAACAGTGTATGGTATTAATTATAAAGCGGAGGTCTTACCTGAAGGTCTGGTGGTGTTTCTGGATTTTTAGTTAATTCTTTAAGATCATTAACTTTGGAATGAAGCTCTTCCAATTTCAATGCTTTGTTTTTAACTTCAGACTAACAAAACAAAAGAAGAAGGGTAATGCATCATTAATCAGAAACACTGACATGCTGTCCTTGGCCTTTCATAATTTAAAGAGCTAACGGTCAAGGCACAGAATCTAAGCCAGTGTACGAACGAGACCGTTTCATTTTCTGAGCAGTGCTATTCTTTATGAATGTGGAAAATATCACATTTAACATTCACTTGGAATGTGAGGGAGCATGTGGAACTTACTTTCTTCCCACCCTCTTTTATTAGAAGAAAGATCCTGGAAAAAATTAAACAGCAACCAAAAGCCTGGTGTTGGCAGGGCTTTCCAGCAGGCTGTCATTTACTTATTAGCAGAGCCATGAGTAGTTCCCATGGCAGCACCGAATTCATTTCAAAGCAAATTCACATCAGGACAGCCTCACAACTGCAGACAATATGCAATAGGTAAGAGTCATTGCAAAGAAAAATGTATAGGCAATTCAGGAGGAAAGCAGAACAATTGGGAAGTTGAAGCATGACTGGTAGTTTGTCTTTTTTTTTTTTTTTTAAACAAGCAAAGGATGTCCTTAGATGATGGTCTCTTTCATTAAAATCAGATGGTTTCACTTAAAGACACATTATTGAACATGGGTACATATAAATTGCATTCGTTACTTGAAGTCACAGGAAACATGACATAATGTTTAAATTTTTTTTAATGTGTTTGGTACAGGGTCACACTGCACAGCTCAGATTCATAGTGATCCTCTCCAGCACTGGGATTGCAGGCATGCACCCCCATGCCCGGTCTTGGCGGCTGGCTCAGTGTGCCTGAGGGCAGTGCCACAGCAGCATGTGGTACGGGGATTGAACCCTAGTTCCTGTGCTTGCCTAAGTGGGCCCTTAGTCTGCTGAGCTACCTTGCTGGCCCCAAAAACATGTAATTTAAAAATAATGTTCTGCTGCTTTGTAGAGGCAAAGTTCTTGATGCCTTGATTTCAGAAAGCAACTTACTTTATACACTAAGATGTGAAACTGCCAGATCTTATCTCCTGAGCTATATTCACATGTGGATCTGTTGCTAGAGAGGAGGGGATGCCAGACACTTGGCTGAGTCCAGGCACCGATTTTATCAGGTGTGTCACAAAGTTAGTAACCAGGAGACCCACCTCTGGGAGACTGACCCTGCTACCTTGAATGTGGGGCTGAGGGATGCTGGCCTCCCAGACTTCTAAGAGCAGCAGTTGTGGGCTGACTGGACAGCTGTGTCTCTTCCCTAAAAACTGCTGCAGCATTTACAGAACCTGGAGCTACGGCAATCATGTCACTGCACCCAAGCCTGGAAGCCACCAGCAGCACACCAGTCTAGCGTCCCTATCATCTGCAGCACAGATCTAACAGATGTCAGTAACTCTGGGCCCTGGCAGACAGTACTGTGTTGAGTAATAATCAGGAATGGTAAAATTTTGAGGATTTGTTCCTTTCTTGTTTTCGTTTATTTTGAAATGTTGGGAATGGAACCTTGGGTGCTCTAATCATTGAGCTGGGGCCGGGGAGATGGCTCAGTAGAATAAGCACTTGCCTGGCAAGCGCAAGGGCCTGAGTTCAATCCCCGGTTCCGAAAAAAAAAAAAATCATTGAGCAAAGCTATTTCATTATTTATTTATTTACAATTTAACTTATAATATAGAGAGTGCCAACACTTGCCTATAGCACTCCTGAAGATGTAACCATCTATGAACTGGTATAAACACGATACAGCGCGCGCGGGCCATTAAGAGGTGGACTGTAGCAACAGTGGCATTGTAACAGCATCGACAATAACAGCTAAAGACACTGCATTACTTGTCATTCTTGACTGTATTTTGAGTCCGGCTTATTTCCTTTTGTTCTGATCACCAATGGAGCTAGATTACAAACTCTCCCGAATGTTATATGCTTCAAAAACCACTTAGGAAATGTAGCTCTTTTGCCTGTTTTCAGACTAGTCGTTCATTCATTCATCAGTCAAGTTTTGTGTGTCGGGCGCAGTGCTGGGCACCAGAGGACACAGTGTGAATCACCTCCGTTCTCAGCAAGAGTACAGTCACGTGCTTTGAGATATGTATCTCTCTTCACTCTACTTTCTCTCTCTCTCTCTTTTTTTTTTTTTTTTTGGTACTAGGGATCGAACTCAGGACCCTGCACTTACCAGGCAAGCACTTATTCCACTGAGCTATCTCCCCGGCCCACTACTTCCTCTTCCTCTTAATCTACTTAATTTTCCACCATTGCTCAGTTACCAGTTGACATTTTACTTATGGTATATAATGCGATATAAACAAGATATAAAAGTAGAGATGTCTGTTTTACTGCTATATATTCAGTGTCTAAAAATAGTTTTCTATACTGTAGGAATTCATTAAGAATTTGATGAATAAATGAATAAGTAAATGAATGCAGTAAATGGTAATAAAAGGAGTTTAAAAATAAACTGGTGGCTAAAGCAATAGATAAGAAACTTTTCTTGGAAACCTGCAACAATACAATCTCAAATTTTCTTTCATTTCTGAAAAGGAAGTGGAAGAATCTAGTACCAAACAATAATAGTATATCTTAAGTATTTGATAGATTTGTTTGAATGGAGAAAAATAAATATTAAATATTGCCAAATTAAAGAAACTTCCAATTTGATTTTCAAGTGAGAGAATGCCCCACTCTCATAATAATGGGAGAAAAGTACACATTTCATGCACTTTTATTTTTCTACTAAAACTTCAAGTAAAAGCTTCCACAAAGACAATATCAAAAGGCAAAAAACCCACTTAGTAAGAGCCTATTCAAAGTTTGAGTAAGTGGGGCTGGGGATTTAGCCCAGTGGTAGGTTTGCCTTGCAAGCTGGACACCCTGGTTTCGGTCCTCAGCACCAACAAAAAATCAAGCTCACCCAGTAAGTAGCAGAAGATAGTTTAGAGTTTTGGAATACCCTCATGTATTTTATTTTATTTTATTTTATTTTGGTATTTTGGGGAAGGGTCTACAGGGTGTTCAGGGTCTCGGTACTAGATCAGACTCACAGTGATTCTCCTGTTTACAGCTTCCCAAGAGCTGGGATTACAGGTGCATGCCAACACACCCAGTCTCAATTGCAATCTCAGCGCACCCTGGGGGCAGGGCTGGCACAGCAGGCCCAGGGATTGAACCCCCGGGCCCTGCACATGCTTGCAGCAGCTTTAATCTGCTGAACTATTTGGCCGGCCCTCCCCCATGTATCTTTGAAAAGGATAACTTGAAAACAGACCCCCTTTTTTTTTTCATCTTTTAGAGCATGATACCCCACCACCTCTAGCTGCAGGTATTGTTAGTTACCTCAAATGCTTTAAGGAATTCTTCAGCTCTGAGGCTGTTGTTCAGGTTGGTGATGTTTTCAGCCAGCTGTGGAAGGGAGCTGTTTGACCATCCATCGATGTCATCTTTACTTGAAAGTACATCGTCCCAAATGGACAGGCTTCTCCTCAGCTTTTCTATGTTTTCTTCCATTTTTTCTGATAGCTAGGAAAAGAAATAGAAGTCATTCCATTGACAGTACACAGATTAAAGTGCTCATTCCTCTACCGATGCTTATTGATTAGAAAGTTAGATTATTATTATTATTATTATTTTGGTGGTACTGGGGACTGAACTCAGGACCTTGCACTTGCCAGGCAAGGGCTTATTCTACTGAGCTATCTCCCTGGCCCCAGAAAATTAGATTCAAATGGCAAGGTTTTATAAAAGTATTGAGGGTTAGTCAGTGCTCCCAATTCAAGTAAATGTTAACAAATACACAATGGCTTAAACTTTTGAAACATCAGATTTTCTTTTGTACTTGGGGATTCTAATGACAGAAATAGTACATAAAATATAACTCATTATAAGTTTGAATTCTACAGGATTAAGGTCCATCTAGGGCAGTAGTGTATTTATTTTTCAAAGTAGCACAGTAAACACTTTATTTGTAATGCTGACTTTTAAGGAAGAGCATTAATTAGATGTGGACATATTTATAATACAAGTAAATACATAATAAAACAACACACTTTGTTTATTTAAATTGTTAGTGCTTACTAATTCTTTTATGCTAATGGTCTTTAAAACAGAGACATAAGATCTTAGAAGTCTCCAAATTATATGAATTTTTTATAAGAATATCACCAACAAACAGTAAATTTAGCTTACTAAAGCTTAATAAGTAAGGGAATCCTTCTTAAGTTAAAATTTTGAACCTAGACATTGAGAATCACTGCATTTTTGAGCTGAAAGGGAAAATATAAATATTTCTGAGTAGATGTATTATTTTCCAGGAAGATCAAATGATTTGTTTTATGGTCACAAGAATTAAAACACAAGAATATAAGTAAGTCCATTTTTTTTAAAGTTTTCTTATCTTTTTTGTGCAAGGTCTCACTATGTAGTCAGACTTACAGTGATGCTCCTGATTTCTGCCTCTCTAGTGCTGGGATTACAGGAATGCACCACCACACCCAGACTCCGTCACTGGCTCAGCACACTCAGGGGTGGGGCTGGCACAGCATGTGGTGCCAGGGATCGAACCCTGGCCCCTGTGCTTACCTAAGCAAGCACTTAGTCTGCTGAGCTATACTGCCAACCCCTACATCCAATATTTTTCAACACAAAACTATAATCTTATTACTTGAGGTTGATATATATTACATTTGCATATTCTGTGGGACGCCTGTAACTTATTCTATTTAAACCATAGTTATAGAATTTTGAAAAGAAAAATTCTTAGAGTTGTGATTTGTTAGGCATGAACCAACCAAACATGAATCCAGAAACCTGCCAGTAAGTTTTGACAAAATAATGCAAGTAATTATGTTTCTCTATTTCTAACTTTTTGTGAACACTGGTTTCACTGAGTATCATTTTGCATTTAACACTGAATGGAATTCACACCCGTGAATAACCCTCTGCCCTACAGCTTGGTGAGGACTTGATTGTCTAAAGTGTTCCCGGGGCCTCCGGAGGGTGCTCTCACATCCAGCCACTTGTCCACAGTGCTCTCCATGTCCATCTTGACCAAGGTGAAGTCGCTGCTGTGAATCTTTTTCAGCTCCAGTAACAAGTGTTTGCCTTTACTGGTAAAGCTGTCCAGCTCTTTCTGCTTACAGTTCATTTCATTCTTGGCAGTTTCATGCTGTGGACATAAAATATTTCCTTAATCAGTAAGACAGTGCTAAGTCAAAGGTTTAAAACCATCTGCCTTTAAGAAATTTAATTAGTAGTTGACTTTGTGCAGAAATTAATAATATTAATTTATTGTAGTTCGTAAACAAGTCAGAGAGTG